TTGTTGGAGAGTAGGTTTAGATTAGACATCCGTAAGAACTACTTCACAGTTAGGGCGGCTAGGATCTGGAACCAACTTCCAAGGGAAGTGGTGCTGGCTCCTACCCTGGGGGTCTTTAAGAGGAGGCTTGATGCCTACCTAGCTGGGATCATTTGAGCCCAGTTTTTTTTTCTCCTGCCCAGGCAGGGGGTCAGACTTGAAGATCTATAAGGTCCCTTCCAACCCTACTTCTATGATTCTATGAAGTGGGGTGGAGGAAGCCTGCAGTGAGGACTGGGAGCTAGAGTGGGGCTGCAGTCTCCTAGCTATGCACCCTTCTCAGCCTCCCTGCCAGCTGAGGGGACAGTGGAGGGAAACCCAACCTGGGCTTGACTCTGCCCCCAGAGCCAGGAGCCATGCTCTTGCTTAGGCTTGGGGCTCTCTGAGGAGAGTGGGAGATGGAAGTCCACAGCAAGGGGCTTGGCTCTGCCCCTGAAAGCTGGGAGCAGGGCTGGAGTCCCCTAGCATCACCCCCTTCTCAGCCTCTGGCTAGCTGAGGGTGGAGGGGAAACCCACCTTGGTTCCTCCCCCAGAGCCATGCCCCCACCTCAGCCCCGGGCTGGATGGGGTGGGGCTACAGCAGGTGGCTTGGCTCCACTACCCACTATCCCCCTGAGAGCTGGGGTGGGGCTGGAGTCCCTTAGCTAGACCTCCTTCTCAGCTGCCAGGCTGGCTGATAGGAGGGGTGAGGGGGCTTGGCTCTGCTCCCTAGAGCCAAGAGCTATACTCCCTCCTCAGCCTCCAAGCTGCCTCATGGTGGGGGAAGGGGGACAGAAGCCTGCACTGGGGCTTGACTCTTTCCCCAGAGCTGGGAGCCATGACCCCCCATCAGTTGGCCTGGAGGCTGAGAAGCAGGCATGACTAGGGGACTCCAGCCCTGCTCCTGGCTTGGGGGGGGTGGAGGGCAGAGCCAAGTCCTGGTGCAGGCTTTCCCATCCCCTTCCCTCAACCAGCCCAGAGGCTGAGAAGGGGAAAGAGCTAGGGGACTCCAGCCATTCTCGCAGCTCTGAAAAGCAGAGCCAAGGCCCCCACTGTGGGCTTTCTCCCCATCCCTCAGCCAGCCTGAAGGCTGAGGTGTGGGTGTGGCTCCCAGATCCTGGTTCTGGGGGTGGACACCAGCTTTACTGTGGGCTTCTCCCTCCTCAGCTGGCCTGGGGGCTGAGAAGGGGGTATGACTGGGGGACTCCAGGCCTGCTCCTAGCTCTGAGGGTGCCGAGCCAAGTCCCTTGCTGCAGGCTCTCCCACTCGCCCCACTCAGACTGAGGAGGGGGCATGGTTCCTAGTTCCAGCTCCTGGCTCTGAAGGGGTGGAATCAAAACCCTGCTGAAATCTCCTGGCCCCTTTCCCCAGGCCAGCAGGAGGGGCAGGGCAGACCCTGCTTGCTGGAGCAGACAACAAAGCCCAGAGCTGCAAAGCATCCTGGGATGCTGGGGGACTATGAATTAACTTGAGACAGGAGGGGATCTGGGACAGTTCATAAACTGGTTTGACCTAAATCAGTTAAGTCTAATACTATTTCCAACCAAATTTATCTTGAACCAGTATCAGCCATTTCGAAAGTGCTTTAAGTGCACTGAATTTCTGTTGTTATGGGTTTAAATCAGTTTCTGATCATTTAAATCAGTGTATGTATAACTTCTGTCCCTAGCCCTGTTGTCATTTTGAAATCTACAATATTACAACACCTTGTTGTTTCATAGGGATAGAAAAAAACTCTCTTCAGTTTTACTTCCCACTGTTGCTCCAGCATGGGTGATTGGTTTTCTTAGTGGAACAGCAGTAGGTGAGAAAAATTAAGACAAAGGATTTTTTCTCTTTTTTCACACACTGAATTTCATTATTATTATTATTATTTTTTTGCAGAATTATAGCAGTGGCTAGCTGTTTCTTTAAAGCTGATTCTTTTCATTTCTTACCTTCCAGCCAGTCCAACAGTCAGAGTAATTGCAAAAGGCCAAAAATGAAAGCAGCAGTCAAAGATTCACAAAAGTTGGGTTTCCTAGTCGGCACGCCCATGGGAAGTACAAATAAAAGAGAGTGAGTTGGCATCTGACCGTGGACAGATATTAAATAAATAAATAAATAAAATAGAATAGAATAAATAAAATAAAATCTAAAATAAACAAAATTGATATCAGAATGTTGCATGTTACCATCCACTGGTAGGTATAACATAGGTATTTGCATGGCACTTCATAGATTTCATACATGTTAGGGCTGGAAGGGACCTTGCGAGATCATTGAGTCCAGTCCCCTGCCCAAAGGGCAGGAAGTCAGCTGGTGTCAGATGACCCCAGCAAGAAGAGCATCCAAGTGTTTCTTACACGTACCCGGAGTAGGTGCTTGCACCACTTCTGGGGGGAGTCTATTTCCCACCATGCCTGGGGGGAGTCTATTCCACTTACCTTACATTAGGTAAATCTAACCATATAGTAATACGAACAGGAGTGTCAGCCAGTTATTTTGGACCCAGAATCAAGCTGCTGTATATCTGCCTAGGAAATAATATTTTAACACAATATTAATAACACAATATTTCTTTCACTGTGGTTTTGGTCTTTCTGCTGTTTTCTGCAGACTACTTTTCATATATCCGCAGTACCTCTCAGAGATACTGTCCACATTGTTGCTATTTTTAGCCTGTTTTTTTAATGAGAAAGAGAAAAGGGGGCTAGACTAGGGCATTCTCTAGTCCTTTTGGCAGCCTTCCAGATGTTTTGGCAGCTGAAGTATTAAGTTAACTATCTAGGTTGAGTTTATTCTCTATTATTACTACCCTATGGCTAAAAAAGTATGATATGCATGTCCATGCCTACATTCTTTTGTAAACCCCCCCCTAAAATACTGCATGATCTGTATGCATAAGGCTTGAACCTTTTTCTCTGTTCTATTCATCTGAAGGCTTATTCTGCCTCTCATCTCCATATTCCATTTAATATTTATCTTTTAACATTATTTTCTCATAGTGTGCAGATACTTGCGTTGTATATAAAATAAAACATGTTCACATAATCAACAGTCTTCATTGTGGGGGAACAGCATGAAATGAAAGTGCATTTATTGTACATTTCCTTATGTTTTATGTAACATAAGCAATAAAATGTAAATTTAGGGATTGATATGGTTTTCCAGTAAGTTGTATTTCTATGTGACACAAATGGTTTGTTGAACCGATTAATAGGCATATTTCAAAAGGAGATTAACAACTACAAAAACCCAAACAAAAGACAAACTTATTCATCTCAGAAAATAATAGAATTTGAGTGAGTCCTGATGGTGGGAAAATGAATCACTGTTTGCGGTTTGTATATAGATGGTGTCAGCAGGCTAGTGCCTTTTCACTTTCAGTGCTATAGACATGAGAGAGATCAGCAGGGCTACAAGGAAAACAGTTGAATCTTTAAGACCTGTCAGTTCAGATGAGCATCTGTTTTTACCAAGGCAGAGCCCCAATTTTAATAGTGGTATTTCCTATGGTCATAA